ATAAAGAATACGGAGTGTCACTATTTATCCGATGGGTGTCGTAAAAGCCGACTAAGGAAGCGAACTGCAGAACAAAAGCATTGCAAAGAAAAGGAAAACTTGAAACAAACCCTTTTTTTTTTTTTTTTTTTTTTTTTTTTTTTTTTTTTTTTTTTTTTTTTTAACGTGTGGAAATCCCCTCGGACCGTCACCCCTCCGGGGTTTGCGGCGGGGTGGTGTGTCGGACTCGGACCGACTAAAACCACACGGTGTGCCACTCTGCGCCTGTAACAGGAGGGATCCGGGAACAGCTGTTGTTAAGACATCCGGACCCCTCCTAGCGCCAGCCCGCTCCTGGTGCGGGCTCCGTCTCAGTGTTTTTTCCTCTCTTTATAGGCGACGTCCGGCACACGCGGACGCCGCCCCCTCGCGGCTGGCCAAACTAATGCGGGTGGAGGGGAAACCCACCCCGTCCACCCGCGGCCACACTCAGGGCGGCATGAGGCTGTGGTAGGCGGGCCTCCGCCGCCCGGTTCGCCGGCGGCGGATCGGGTCCGAGTGGAGGTCGTCCTCCCGGGCCCTCTCCGCCGCCTCCTTCCGCGAGATTACTACCTCGCAGAAGGTTGCGACCGCGGTAAAACAACTGTCGCTACCGGCCATGGAGCGTACTACGGCCGGTAGCGAGGGATCCACTCCGATGACTGCAGTGAGGGCCCGGCGCTGCGCCGCCCATGCGGGGCAGACCGCCAGCGTGTGCTGGGCCGAGTCCTCACTGCAGTCGCAGTGGTGGCAGGCGGGACTCAGTTCCCTCCTAGCGACCGTGTGCAGGTACTTTCCGAAGCAACCGTGCCCGGAAAGCACCTGCGTCAGTCGGAAGGAAAGGGTCCCGTGCTGCCGCCCTGCCCACTCGGCGATGACCGGCTGGAGAGCCTCCACGGCGGCGAAGCCAGCGCGTGGAGTCTCCAGCCGGAACGACCAACGAGCCATCGTGGCTCGGCGAGCGGCTTCGCGCCACTCGCGCACATCCTCGGGCGGAGGGCGAAATCCGCTCTCCGCCCGGGAGTCAGCCACTCGCCGATAAACCTCGGCGAGCACTTCCGCCTCCAAATCCCACGGGGGAGTTCCGGCCAACGCGCACGCCACCTCCGTAGAAACGGTGCGGTAACCGCGTATGGCTCTGACCGCCATTACCCTCTGAGGGCGCCAGAGGCGTACCCTATTCTGGGCGGTCAGAGCCGCCGCCCACACCGGTGCACCGTACAGTGCCATTGACCGGACAACCCCCGTGTACAGCCGTCTTGTCGCGACGCTGGGTCCACCCATATTGGGCAAGAGTCGCCCTAGGGCAGACGCAGCGCCGACCAGCTTTGGAGCAAGCTGTCGGAAGTGCTCGTCGAAGAGCCACCTCCCGTCGAGGATCAGGCCCAGATATTTCATCTGGGCCCGAACCGGTACGAGGACCGAGTTGACCACGATTGAGGCGCCAGGGGGTGGACCACGACGGGGCCCATGGAAAACCCTATATCAACCCGTCTGGCCAGCGTGGTATAGTAGCCCAAAACCTTCTTTCTAAGGAGAGACCTATGTCCAGCAGTAAACTGTTATAGGCTGTCGATGATTAATAATGATAGAAAAACCGTAATAAGGGAACTAATTTAGTTATTACGAAGTAAACAACAGTAGACAGTTAGGTATTAAAACTAGAAACAATACAATGGTACCTACTTACATATTTTGGACATGGCACACAACTCTTGCAGCTAAGTGAATTTGATCACGAAAGATGTTTAAAACAAAACACTTAAATTTAAAATGAAGCATAGCATACTCGTGTTTCTTAGTTCTCGTATATTATTTAAAAAAGAAAAGCTTATAAAAAATGCAGTTTTATTGGTCGGATTGGTTTATAAGGTTAGGTGCTCGTAAAACTGAAAGCCGAAACCGGCGAGCGTGCATGAAAGGTTTTATGAATATAGAAGCAGTGAGGTACAAGATCGTGACAAATGTCGTCTCTGCCAACCTCTAAAAGTAAAAAAGCGTGAACATTTACATGTATGGTCGTAAAAGGTCAGTTTAACTAACATAAATCTTTAGCTTTATTAAATTACCGCTTCCTTTTACTCGCTTATCAACTTTTTCTGGATAAAAAGTATCCCATATGTTAGTCCAAACTATAATCTATCTCTGTGCCCAAACTTCATTCAGATTCGTTCAGCCATTCCGGCATGATAGAGTAACAAACTTGTATATATCCATCCTTAAAAACTTTCTTGTTTGTTTTAAATCGTCATCATCATCAACAGCTATTAATAATCCACTGCTGGACATAAGCCTCTCTTTACAAAGGAGGTTTTGGCCTACTATACGACGCTGGCCAGACGGGTTGGTACGGGTTTGTGTCAAGTTTTCCTTCTCTTTGCAATGCTGATGTCCTGCGTTTGCTCTCTTAGTAGGCTCTTACATCACCAATGGGATGAATAGGGGTGGTGACACTTCGTATTCCTAAACCGTTACCACACGGACAGTGTAATTATGATATATACGACAAATTAAGTGGGTTTGTAGTACTTGGTAACACTTTGGTTAACATCCATGGGATAATTTATAGAGATACCATCACATAAACGCGTGTACGACTCGTAAATATTTTAAGTACGAAACATTTTATGAGCATTTCAATGGGTGTTTTATTGCTGCTCTGATTGAGTTGGCATTGCTCGAATAGTTTGTTTATTGCCGTGTCGTTTGTCAAGAAATTGATATATCTTTTTTTACTATTAGATGTGATTGCTTATTTGTTTGCTGGAATTTAATTTTTTATGTCTGGTCGTAAACACTGTGGCACATAGAGATGTAACTATAGAGAGAACACGGGGTATAGCTGCCTGTAAATGGAAGCGATACATATTTCCCTATATATCGGGATATATCGGGAATCGAAGCCAGGACAAACATTTTATATTATGCCACATAGAATCGATTCTCATTCAGTAAAAAACTACCGTTCTTAACGGTCAAAGTGGCAAAAGCTGACTTGAAACTAGTTGAAAAATTACAGTTGCATTTTCAGGTTTATCTGTACCGGAGTTTGAACTGTGGAGAACACCACTACACCAAATTATATTCAGGCAGAAAGGCTTTCACAAACTACACTTATAAAATAGGTCAGGTTTAGTTAAAAAAATATCAAGTATCAAGACTTAAAAGACTTAAAAGTTAATACTAAAGGCAGATTGGAGATCCTCCAACGCTGCCTTGTCGCGATATCCATCTTCATCCAGCCTCTAAGTAAAACATCCTATAATTCCTTTCCGTTTAAGATAGAACTTTTGTTTTCTTGATGTGCTTATAAATGTTACGGAAATTACGACTTTATACATTTTAGATATAAGATTTATTGTCTCTGTAGCGTTTGTTTTTTCTGTCATAAGCGTTTACGTATCCAGAGCACGTTTGCAAAGAATTTATATCGCGATTTCCTGATATACAATTGTTGGACGTAATGCCCACGGTGAAGATAAATTGGAGTAGTTAAACTGTGCGGTGTCGCTAGCCCAATACATTATGTTGGGAGCTTATTATCATTTTAATACTTACTAGCCTTTACTCGAAGCCTTTCAAAGTAGCCGAAGTTACTCGCTGATAATGTAGCTTTCTGATAGTGACAGAATTTAGAATTTAGGTTTAGTGATTTAGGCGTGAAATCGTAACAAACAAACAAACAAAAAACTCACTTTCACATTTATAAGTATGGATTTTTAGGTTAAGACAGAAATACCAGCAGTCTTTTACAAATTAGAGGTAGATCATTTTTCGCCCTTCTTATTCTTATTTAAGGTAAGCGCAACGTATAACATTAAAAAATATTTTGATTGTTTTTTTTTTAATATCTGGTTGCTTGCCCGACGTCAACCATCCTTAGGCATGACTTTGTTTGTGCATTCTATGATTAAAATAGACAACAAGGAGACAACATTAACCAGCCCTAATAAAAGTAAGTCAACAAAATTAAAACTTTTTAAAACCTGTGGCTAAATGACAATCAAATAATTTACAAAAAGGAAGGAATATTATATTTTTTCTAAAATTAGCGTACTAAGGATAGTCTATCAGAATCCTAATTTAGGATCGCAAAAAACTGTGTTCAACTGATGACTGTTTAAGTAAAGAATGTTGGCTTAAGCAATTAATTTTTCACAGAACTGTCTTTAAACTACAATCAAAGAAACTTTTCTAATACTTATTGTTATGGTAAAGGAAACTCAAAATATTATACCCGAGTTTTCAAGAGTGAGTCAATATTAAAGCACTATTCTATAATGAGCAAAAAAACGTCATAATACAGTGTTATTGCTTCTTAAAATCGTCTGAAACTATTTTTTGGGTTTTCCATCGTTTAAACTATTCCTAAGAGTATAACGATATTGTAGTGTTGCAATATTATGTGACTTAGGGTGCTTCTACACGGTGTAAGTAGCTGGAGCGGTCGAGTTACTTGAACGTTTGGTTGGTATAATGTGCGTGCTGCTCACGCGGGATAAGTGTATGCGTCTTGCTTCTTTCAGATTTGACACAATTCAGAACTGTACCTGCGCAAGTGACCCGCGCCAGTTGCTGGACCCGGATTGTCCTTTTCGCTAACTAAATAACCTGCTTAGATACTTGCATCCTGTCCGTTTCGGGACATTTATCACCATCAAAAGCGTGTCCATAAACTTTTAATTAACAGTAAAATTATAAGATCTTTGTGTAGGATTGAATCACAGACATTGCGCTCTAGAGATACTTTAATTTCTTCAATGCGAACGAAGTTTATTTACGTTGTTGACGAAATGACCATCATTCTATCATACGAAGAGATATGTTGATTGGCTCAGGATTTAAACCTAACTGCTATCTCCATAAGTGCTAGCTCAGCAGTGATAAAGGCAGCGGTATTCATAGCTAAACCACGCTTGAAGTCGTAACAATACAGCTATGGAGTCACGTACAGGGCGTATTTTCATGAATCGCCCCGTCGTCTATCCAGCTCCAGTAAGGCGACAAGGGTGTCTTTTGTTCAACATGTAATCGAAGCCCGATTGTTTCTTCTTAGTATATCTGTATCTCCGGCTATAAAATCATAAGTATATATTTATGTACTTTATTGATTTATGTTGTTGTGTATATCGTAGTGTATATTGGCATGATTTGTATATCTTGTTATATGTTATTGCTATATGTTATTAACCTTACGATGTATGCACAAGGCGTAGCAATTAGGGTCTGCAACTGGTTTTACGCATAGCGTAATTTTGGGCCCATTTGAAAACCGGTTTCCGTTTTTGGCATCGGTGGTAATTCAAGGTGCAAAATTGTCTAAAGTTTTTTCAACATTTTTTCTTTCTTTCTTTCTTACGTGGGAGAGCTATGGTCGGTGTTGGCACGATGTGCCTGATATGTGTGTGACACGGCATATCTGAAACCATACATTTTCGCACAGGCTGCCACTTGTATCTTAGTTATATTTTATGTAATTAGTGATGTTAGTGACGTGTGGTGACGGATTAAGAATACAGAGTGTCACCATCCCTATTCATCCCGTGGGTGTCGTAAGAGGCGACTAAGGGAGCAAAATACGCAGGACAACAGCACTGCAGAGAGAAGGAAAACTTGACACAAACCCTATACCAACCCGTCTGGTCAGCGTGGTGTGGCAGGCCAAAACCTCCTTTCTAAAGAGACCCCTATGTCCAGCAGTGGACTAGTAAAGGCTGTTGATGATGATGATGATGATGTGTAGTTTGATTTAAAAGTGTTTTGATAGATGTGAAAATTCGTGGGTGAAAGCCGTCGTGTATTTCAGGAATAAAAATATGTTTTATTTTTTTCTATGTCACGGCATATATAGTCCACGTTCGACCGGAGTGATACCACGGCCTCACACACACTTTTTTTTTTTATTACCGGAGCTGAGACCCATATTCTTTGGGAATGTAGTCTTTAGTATAATTAATGTAATATAATGCTGAATAGCTTTCAGGTGACATCTGAAGCGGTATACTAAAGGGATCTTGTGTCAACTACGATGAATTGCCGTCCGTTTAGGCGATTTTGCCATACATGTTATAGAAATCAAATATACTTAGGACCCATAATATTTAGTGGCTTTCCTGTTTAAAAGGGCGTATGTCTATTTTACTTCATTTTGTCTCCCGCTTTGCTAAGGAGAGAAATGGATTCATTATATTTCCAAGTCCTATAAATTTCTTCTGATTAATTTCGTTGCGGGTTTCACACAGTTAAATTTTTTCCATTGACTTCCAGAGTGTCATAACTCGGTGTGTTCGTGGGTCACTGCTGTTGATCCTGGTGTACAGGAGTTTCAGTTGTGGGAGGGATTAGTCCCATTAAAAAAAAAAAGGTCAGCCCCCCCCCCTCCTGATTCTGGGGGAAGAGACTGAAAAGGCGGAAACGCACTTATGACTCTTGAGTTGTGCTTACCAACAGGTAACCCAACTGCTCGTTTGCCTCCCTATATCATTTCATTAATCAGTAAAACGATTATATTTATCTCAACCTGGCCTCCAGAGAGGCAACCATTTTCATGAAAAAAATGTTCTATTTATGAAAATCATTAGAGTACTGCAATACAATTATAAATTTTGCCAAAGTGTATATCATGTATGAAGCCAAATGTGCTTTAGAGCGTAATGCCAAAAGCATTAGACGTGTTCAGCCAAAATGTTTTGCCAAATTTCGATGTTTAACCGATACAGTAGCTATTACTATTGTGGTTATGATTAAAACCCATAAGCAGTATAATCATCATCAGCCTTAGAAAAGAGGTTTTGGCCTACTGTACCACGCTGGCCAAAAGGGTTGGTTTAGAGTTTGTGTCAAGTTTTTTTTAGTTTTTTTAGTTTGTAGGCAATTTAGTTATAATTAAAATTTTTAGCATAAACGAATCCGTGCAATCTATAGAAAAATCATGGCAATGAAAAATGTGTTCAACCCTTAAGTGATATACCTACTTCCCTATAGGTTTTATAAGGTCAGATATATCGGTGTAGCGACAGAAAGTTCATGAGTAGGTCTTAAGTCAAGGTCGATAGAGTAGCCTTCACAGTACCGGTTTCCATTACAGGGTTGTTTATGTAGATATTAATAAATAGCAATTCCCTGCAGTTCTGGCGTTTACAGCTAGACTGCTCCGCTCTTCAGGATCTTAGCGTGACGTTTATACATTAATCCTCAAAAGATACTCTATCCAATGTAAAATAACCATCAAATGTTACTGATAATTCTGGAGATTAGATTAACAAACAAACAAAAACTCTTTAGATTACATGACACAAAATGAAGTTTAATTTGCCGTGGGAGACTCATCAAACTCAAACTCAATATATCAAAATATCTTTATTTCATTAAAAAAAATTGTTTTAAATCGTCTTTTATGTGAGTCATAGATCAACACACACATAATAGCAACAATATCTGATTTGTCAAATAGTTAGCAAAATAAATTTAATAAAAAATATATTTATACAAAATCTATGATATGCCTGTGCCGATCTACAACCGCCCGTTTCCAAGGAGTTGAGCCTTATGAGAAGAAAGGGCAAACAAACTCATAGCCTCCATTTTGCAATTCATGTTTTTGCATATCGTGGAAGAGCCAGGCTTCGTCACATACGGGCCGGCCGCCAGACCAGAAGATACTATGACCTCACTGAAAACCAAAGTTAAGCAGTTCTTTCTAAGTTTTTTATCGAGTGAGTCCGGAGGTCTAACGCCCTCTTTTTCTTATTCTGGACACACATATACACACAACGCACTTGAAACTATCGAGTTGCAACTATCCATGGGCGTCGATAGTCACTTACCATCAGGTGATAAACGAGGCCGCTCGACGGTCTGCTCATTTGCCATAAAGAAAACACGTTGATGGAGTTTCAGCTATAAGAACTCCTCAGTTCTCGTAATAACTCTATTGTGTCTGAGAACCTTAAATGATATTAACAACCTCAATTAGTCTAAATTACTATCCTCATTAAAATAAACTATGCCACTATTTCCGCAATGCAAGCATTTACTACTTCCCCGTGATATAGAAAAGCGCGCCATTCTGTATCTACCCACATTTTTTGGCAACGTTCCAACTAGCTGCACGTATATAAGCTTTTAAGATGGCGTTCTTGTTATTTAGGGTTCCGCATGGAATTAGGAAAATTCTTATCTAACTAAACAAGTTAGGGGAACTATATTTAGTTAGCTTATTTATCTTTGGGGATTTAGGTACAGGCTTTATACGGATTCTAACATATATGCTAGCATAAGTAAGCAATATTTGTTATGAATATTATATTATAGAAAATGACTGTTCTCTGCAATTCATAAAGTTTGAAACTTAGACAAGAAAATACAATATATATATATATATATATATATATATATATACTTATGCATACAAGAAAAACTGTCCCTGTGGTGACGGATTAAGAATACAGAGTGTCACCACCTCTATTCATCCTGTGGGTGTCGTAAGAGGCGACTAAGGAAGCAAACTACGCAGGACAACCGCACTGCAGAGAGAAGGAAAACTTGAAATAAACCCTTTACCAACCCGTCTGGCCAGCGTGGTATAGTAGGCCAAAACCTCCCTTCTAAGGAGAGGCCTATGTCTGTTGAAAGGCTGTTGATGTGATGTGATACAAGAAAAAGGAAAAAATGAGCAGTGAAAAACACGTATTATTGTAGGTCGATCAACAAAGAACCGCCAAAAATACGTGTTAGTAAACGTTTCCGATTTTATCAAAAAGTATGTAGTAAAGTATGTAGTATGTAGTTTCAATCATTTTAGTAAAATTATTACTTATTTACTTAAACTGTCCACTATATATAGCTAAATTATCATGTAACGTAGTTGTACCTACAAGTTTTAGAAAAAAAAAAAAAACAGAATACGAAAACGTTTCCCGAATATATTCTCTATATCTATAATCTAAAAATAAATTATCTATAATTATTATTATAACTGTTCTTTGTTGGGTATATTATACTTTGGTGACCGAAATGACGTCTACGGTCCATTTTATCTTAAATACTACTGAGACCTCACATTATCTAGTTTAAAAGAAAATTCTGGCACTACACACAATTTATATTAGTAGAATTTCATAGAACAGGCTCTGCAGAGTTTCATTACTTAAATTCATTTCAAAGTACTTATAAAAGTAAAATAACAGAGATGCCTAAGTCCGAAATAAATATATAATTATAGTCCGAAAGTCCTAGGAGTCGAAATTAATTCGATTGAAACAGAAAACTTCTACAAGCTTTTGCACAAGTTTCTCACCCAGATACTCAACAAAACTAGTATTATAACTTAGTATTAAACAGTATTTAGTTTTTAAATGCATCAGAAACGGTTTTTCAAATTGCTAGTTTTAAAAAAATCAAAGTACGGTTTAATTATCGAAACAGTACAACAGCTGTAAATATATTTGTATATATAAAATGAGGGATATTTATAGTCCGAAAAGTAGGCTATTGGGTTGGGTGGGACAACGAATCCAAATTTAGAGTTTAATTGTGTACGTAAATATCTAAACTAAGTAGTCCAAAATAAAAGTCTCCAACTTACCCAACAGTAACATCAAAAATATTGCTGCCGACTGAGCTTGAGACGGCCATATCACCAAATCCTTTTCTGGCGACTATCACGGACGTGATGAGGTCAGGCACCGACGTCCCCGCAGCCAGCAGCGTAAGCCCCATCACTTCTGGAGGCACCATCGCCGTAGCTCCCGCCACATTCGCCCACCACACCATCAGATAAGAGAAGAAAGCTATCCAAACTATAGACCCTATAAATGTTATAGGGAACAATCCTTTCCCTGAAAAAGAAAGAAGTATAATGCATACAACAGCACTTCTATCTTCTTCTTCTGTATAAATTATAGTAAGCATATCACTTTACAAAGGCTGACAGATTTGAAAAATTGATTGTTTTGTGTTAAATAAAGCCGATTATTGTTTTGATATGACATGATATTGATTATTGTAAAATCGAAACAAATACCTGAAAATCTGTATGTGTTTTTTAGGGCTTGTTAAAAAGCCAACGTCTGTCACATGAACTGGTAGGAAATAAATATACTCGTATCTATAAAAAGTTACCGCTTCCGTTCCTCAGGTTGTATGATGTAGTGGTATTTTAATAGTTTCAAGCTAAGTGAAGAATTTATGTCTTTTTAATTGGACGCTGCTTCTGGCTAATGTTTATCGGGTCTGTAAATTTTTTTTTTCGGCCACCCACTAGAACAAATAGGTCTGGTTTTACACATCATCATCATGAGCCTTTAATAGTCCACTGCTGGACATAGGCCTCTCTTTAGAAAGGAGGTTTTGGCCTGCTATACTACGCTGGTCAGGCTGATTGGTATAGGGTTTGTTTCAAGTTTTTCTTGTCTTTACAGGAAGTATAGATGCCAGATAAAGCCTCTGATCACCTCTATTTGTCCGATACATAAAGTAAGTCGATTTTTATGGTTTCTATAGGTTTCTTCCAGGTCAGTTGCTAGTTGGGACCTCAGTAGAAGCACAATGAAAAAGATGCATCATAATTGTCATAAGACTTTAATGTTAATTTAGTTTTATTTTTAAGTAGTATCACCAGATACCTTTTTTTACGTGTGGGAACCCCCTCAGGCCGCTACCCCACCGGGGTGGTGTGTCGAAATCGGACCACCAGGTACCTACTATAATGTAATTTAAAAAGTATAAAGCCTTAAAGAGAGCTTGTGTAACCTTTTATATTCGACAGTTCGACCTTAACGGAAGGCTGACCTTTTGAAGGAAGAGGGTGTACAGTTCAGTTACAGGTTTATTGATTACCAACTACTCCAGTGTCCTCGAACGTCCTCATTCTTTGTTTTTATTCTCTTCTTCAGCAGTTTTATGGAGGAATGGATATTACGTCCTAATTTAACTACAAGTAACAGTAACCTAACCATTTAAAAAAGTATCACCGACTTCAATGCACCTACATCATGATAAATCGGCATAAAATGTGTACTTCATTCCATAATTTTAAACCCTTAAGGGTGGAAAATCAAAATTATTAGATGGAACAATCAATTTCAGTCTGATGTTATGTCACATTATTTTTGTATCTAAATGTTTTGTCTAAATATCTTATTTATTTTAATCGGATATATCGGATAAATATCGGATATTTATTTTTCATAATTTAATTTACACTCTTTATAAATGCCTAGTTTTCTGGCTAATACTAGTATTTATGTTAAAATAGGTATCAAAGTTACCTCTCGGCGTCCTGGTGTCCGGGAGGGTAATCCATAATGGGAAGACAATTGGCGCGACCAACAGGTACGTCAGCCGCTTTCGGAAGCCTGACGGCCACGACATATCTAACGGCGTCGTGTCATCCTCCAGGTCTCCGATCTGGAACAAGTAAAAGGTGATTTGTATAAAGCGGTTGTTAGAACATGTTATTGTAGACTTATTTTTGTAATGACCATATAAAAAAAAGAAATGCTTGGTAGTGATAGTTAACAAATATATGTATAAAGTTTACTGTAATTAGTTTCGCCATTTGTGGAGCATTTCTCTGGAGTATATGAATCAAGTGACGGATTAAGAATACGGAATGTCACTACCCCAATTCATCCCGTGGGTGTCGTAAGAGCCGACTAAGGGCGCAAAAAACGCAGGACACCAGCATTGCAAAAAGAAGGAAAACTTGACACAAACCCTATACCAACCCGTCTGGCCAGCGTGGTATAGTAGGACAAAACCTCCTTTCTAAGGAGAGGCCTATGTCCAGCAGTGGACTAGTAAAGGCTGATGATGAGTTAAATATTTAATATACATGTGTTCTAATGTGTAACTAAATTGGCTTGTTGCTATAACTAAGAGGTCGTTACAAATTATAAACGTTAATAAAACTTCAAACATTTAATGTTACAGGAAATATACTCGTACTCTATTATAGTTTCATTCTACATATAAACGAAAACGGAATTGACGTCAACGGAATCCATTTGGGCAGTTTCCGGGAAGTCATTTAGTACTGTGTCATGAACATTGCGATGATTTACCAAAATAGGAAATATTAAAATAATTTCTGTTTTTAGAAAATAACAATCAATATTTATGAGGTGACAATATTAGTTAAATAATTAATAAATAAAAAAAATTACACGTTTATATTTCGTATACTTTTCTTTTTTGTGTACAGTAAGTATATTATACATCGCCTGGTTCGGATCACCATGGACGACGACGCTTTTAAAGAAAAAAAATCAGAGGCATATAAAATAGCGCTAAAACCGACCAAATTATCTTTGGTAATTTTAATATGCCCAAGTGTCACTGTCACAATTAAAACGAATGCAATGACACCTATCAAGCCAAAATTCATCGTGCCTTTTAGACTACAGAGCCTCCAAAAAAACATACGTACATACAGCCCTTCTGGCGCAGTCGGATAAAAAGTAGAACATTTCTATTCAATGTATGCATACACCGCATAGGAATAAAATTTGAGTGAAAGGGGTATAATTAGGTTACTTGTTTTAAGTTGGTCAAACACTGGTCGCAAAATAAATATAGCAATAAAATAAACTTCGAGTAAAATTTGGTGTAAAAGATTAAAACGGCGGTAGCAGGCAAAATTACATTATCGATGTCATGCGTCGCTTGAATGTCACTGGGTTATAGCCAGAAGGCGAAGGGGGTAGACATACAACACATAATACAATATAGGTTTATACCACAAATTGTATGTTATTATTCTGTTGCTTTTTCTTATTAGTGAGAAAAATTTTTTTATTCCGCTTTCAATCGCCATCACCATAACAGCATCATAACAACATTTGATAGTCCACTGCTGGATATAGGCCTCTCCTTAGAAGGGAGATTTTGGTCTGCTATACCACGCTCGCCATACGGATTGTTGTAGTTTTTGTATCAAGTTTTTCTTCTCATTACAGTGCTGTTGTTCTGCGTAGTTTGCTCTCTTAGTCGGCTCTTGCGCCACCCACGGGGTGAATAGGGATGGTGACACTCCGTATTCTCATTCCGTCACCACACAGATAAATTGTTTCCAATTGTATTATCAAATTGAAACTTTGTGTGTCTGTACATAATGTATAAATTTATATTTTGATTAACAATACTATATTATTTCATCTAAGAGCTTATCTGATGGTGGTGCCAGCTGGTGGATAGTAAAACCACGAAAATTTGGACTCACATCGTTGGTCCTTTTATAAAGCTCGATAACGGAATTTTAATTTTATTCGCGATGTTAACATATTTTTAATTTTACTAAACTATATCTCTCTTAAACAATTTTACTTGTCTGTGGAATGTTTGCGATCTTATTTATCTGACGAAATACAATAGCTTACACAATACGAATACAACAGCGAGGCTCGGACACAACAATTCTGGGGACAAGGGGTAGTTTGGGAGTCGAGGACCCAATTCTGCGACCTATTTCGACATCCTATTATGTGGGCCCTACTCATAAACCTTTAGATAGTGGGCTGCCTAGTTAAAGGAACAATGTCCATTACGAAGTAGACGTTTTGGACGTTTTCGCTCATAGAAATATGGAGAAGTTTATTGTCTGTAGGCGTTTAAAGCCTATTTTGGCCTGTTAGACTAAGGGTTACTGATCTTCACTACTAAACTAAAGAAGGTGGGTTCGATTTGTAATCAGCACGATCATATATATTCTGTCTTTTTTTTATTACATAGGGGCAAACGAGCAAACGGGTAACCCTATGGCAAGTGACTACAGTCGCCCATGAACGCTTGCAACTTAGGAGTCACAAGCTCGTTACCGACCTATACGGGAGTAAGTTCTTTTCGTCAAGGTTTCAAAGTCATATCGGTCCGAGAAAACTACAGGCCACAGTTTATTCTACAGATTGGTTGCGCACCGTAACTTTATTCAACCATAAACCAAGTATACTACATATGTACAGAATGTCATATCTATAGTAATTTATTATAAAAATAATTTTTGGTTATTAAATTTAAACTTTATACTTTAAAAGTAGCAATCAAATTTGAATCATTATTTTTATATTAGATAAAGCTTTTATACAGGAATAATATAGGCTATAAAGTATCACACTATAATGTTTAGTAGCTAAGCAGTGTTTATAAACGCAACCATGTCCTTTAATTAATGACCCAATACAATACAGTGTAGTTCCTCCACTTATTACACCAATATTCGTATTATAAAAGTGAAAGTTGGTGATTGTGTGTTTGTATGTCTGTTACTTCTTCACGCTTAAACGGCTGGTCAAATTTTGATAAAATTTGGTCTTGAGGTAGATTAAACTGTCGACCTCTGGGTTAGAGTCAGGATCACTAAGCACTCGAACAACAGGCCCATTTTCAAAGAAATATTTTTATAAATGATAGTGAGATTCAAGAGAATTAAAAACCGGCTTTAGCTTACTCTTTTCAGCTAGTTTGTATTGAAAGTATTTGTCAGAATATCTCTTCATGAATAACATTGTGGAGTGATGTAATTGAATTCCTATATGTCACATGTTGTTGTTCCTATATGTTGGCAAAATCAATTTCACTTGTCTTAGGGAAAGTGATTTGAAGTGAATTTTACGATCAGATCTGTTCCAGTTTGTCTTTCAAGAAGACATGTCGATTGCTTTTATGAACTGGATAGACATAATGATAATCTTTCTTTTGCATGTTTCAATTTTATTTTGGGTTAGCGCTATTCGTATCATTGCAAACTAGTTCGTCTAGTTGCGTGGTGTAAACGCTAATCCTCTTTGGGTCGTTTGCAGGTCGGTTAAAGACGTTTGTAAGGATAAGCAAAATAGATAAGGTGAGGGCGCTAGGGTCTCAAATGGGTAGCGGGTCTGAGGCTGTATAGTATGTATAGTTCTAAGAGGCCTGTGTGGCATCCCAGTATCCTGTAATTTTAAATGTAACTAGGGCAGGAACATCGATTGGCCTTAACAGGCCAGGCAGAAGGATATCTCAAAGTAGAACGGCAGATCCTGTCCACGTATTTTTTTTTTGGTGACAGGTTGGAAAACCCCTTCGGATCTCCGAGGAATATATGATGGATGGTTATGAATTTGTACCGCTTATTAAGTGCAATTATCATATTTTTAGAACTTTCCTAAAATTATATAAGTTCTTTTCATAAATTGTTACTGCTGCAATTACTAAACGTTCAAGGGTTGTTAACAAAACGCATTCCTACGTTATCTAAACTTGTCATGCATAAAATATAAATTACATAAAAAACGATATGTTTATGTCGATATTTATGAATGAGCTCACTAGTGTATTAAGCAGTTAAAAACAATCATTTTCTATTACTAATGTTTACAGTACAGATCAGACGAAGATTTAAGGAAAGATTATTTTTAATCAATTAATTTAAGGAAAGGTACTAATGATTTTTATTCAAATCGATTAGATCAATAATAATTTAGCTGATCAAGAACGGACGGATTAAGAAAATCGTAAACGAATGATTTTGATTTTAACATATGGTACCTACGTTAGCGTGTTGACAGCAATGACAACTCATTTGTGAGCCAGGGCCCTGTTTTATGAAGCTGACAATCCGACAAGTCCGACATATGTCAAAAAGTGACAATTCGTCAATTCTTCTGTTTTATCAAACTTACAGGCGACAAAATTGTCATGGTGGAAAATTGACAAATATGTCGGATTGTCGCAACAATCTGACATTTTTCTGTTTTATGAAACTTTTTGAGCGACAGGTGACAAGTGACAATTTGTCGTGAAAAACTTGTCAAATCTGCTTTGTAAAACAGAAAATTGTCATGACATATTGACATATTTGTAGAATTGTCCGACAATTCTGACAGGAACGTTACCCTCTGTCGCTAAATCATTTTCTGAATTTTGAAGGTGTAAGAAAGTGTTTATAAAAGTTTTATTACAAAAAATGGTACTTACCTCGAGTAGTGAGAGTAGTGATGATGAATACTTGGAACAAATACAAACAGGAACCTAATGCTGTTATTTGTTCGACTATTTCCTTCCATTTTTTTATTTTTGTATCGTGGGTCAATTCGTCACTAAACTTCCCAAAGAGTATATTCCTATTTTCGAAAATAAGGCCCAAAATTTTAATTTTTTTGTGCATTTCCATTTTACACGAAATTTTAAAACAAACAATCGAAGCTCCACTAGTGATTGATTCATTCTTTTACTCTGTTAATATGTCTTCTATTTTACCCTCATTTAGCTACAGAAAACATATTTATTTGCAAACATGTCAAAAGTCGACATAATTGTCACAACAATCCGACAATTGTCACCAACCATTGTCAGTAATAATTTGACTGTGGTTTGTTGACATATGTCGTGTTTTAGTAAACAATTTTTAAATGACAAATATGTCAAGAAAAATGCCTGTCGAATATTGACATATTTGTCACTTTTTTTAAACACCCTAATCGCGACAATTCGACAATTTTGTCACTTTTTGACATATATGTCGAAATGTCAGCTTCATAAAACAGGGCCCAGCTGTCATTGGTATCGACTTCAATACAGCCTATATGTAAACTACAAACTGAACTCAAAAATCTGGTAATCAAAACTGTAATTGTTGATGATATTACCAGTCAAATAAATACAACATTAATTCGTACCATCAGATACGCAAGGGGCTACAAAAAAATCCCATTCATGACTTCCATTTTCTTTTGCAGAAATAGCATAACATTTCAGAAGTTGTATAAAAAGTATATATTAGTACATATTGCGTTACCACTAAATGTTCTAAATGTTACCCGGAAGCGAGTATTCATCAATTAAGTCCAGGATTCAAAGATTTAGCTATAATGGTGATAAATCGTAGATCCAACTTTCAGTAACACTGGATAAATACGATCGATTTTCCCTTCGGAGTGACTTTAGGTAAGCGTGTTACGTTTTTAAGGTTGCCTTCGTAAAAAAAATATGTGAATCAGTTCGATTATTTATAAGGAGGTTTACATCATCATCAACCTTTGATAGTCCACTGCTGGACATAGGCCTCTCTTTAGAAAAGAAGTTTTTGGGTTGGATTTTAAAACGAGTCGCCTGAATTTGAGGGTATTGGTGGGTCTTAATTCCCCCACAGTAATTTTGGCTGCCGGAGTTGCGTCTAAATATTTTAAAACAATTTCCAAAAATTCTTAAATACTCTTGCAATTATGCAAAACGGAACGTAATTTTTATGCTTTAGTACAGTGAAACGAAACGCAACCCGCCATCTTGGATGGATGATATTGACAGCTAATGTCAAATTTGTGCGTCATTCCTTTTGCTTTCGAGTATAAGTGAATGTGTTCTTCCGTATCGATTTGTGTTTTTTCTATGACTTGGCTACCTTCTTGGAATCTGTTTGGATTGCTTTACTGTACGACCTCGACTCACTCACTTTTGGACACTGAAATAACGCTATCGCAGCTTGCAATGGCGTCTGGAAGTAGTGGAAGTGGACACCCGGAACCGGTACCGTCTACGAGTTCGGGCCTTGGTGGAGCATCGGCAGTATATGAAGATGTTTTCGAGGACGACGGGCCCTTTCTCGATCGACATCTCTACACAGAAGAGGTTCTTATGATGTGGAATTTGGCGAGAATAATAAAAAAAATTGGGCACGAATTAGCAGTGTGTGGCATTTGCCGAAGAAAATGGATTGGTGCAGACTCAAAAATTATGCAGAACACATCGCACTCCCATGAAAATAGCCTAATCGACCAACAGGTCATTTGGTTCTTGGTGTTGCACCAAAGGCAATTGTAAATCTAAATCTAAAATACCACGCAATAACGGGACATTTTTTGAAAATATAAAAATTGATTTGGTGCATGTTTTCTATCTATTATATGCATATTCAAAAAAATGGAGCTACAATGACGTCATAAATGAAGATCCCTACAAGGAACATTTTGAAAGGTGCCTGGGCCGGGCCACCATATGTGACTGGTATAATTATTGCCGAGAAACCATTGTGGCATACCAAATTGACAAAAAAGAAGTAGTTGGAAAGATTGGTGGCCCCGGAAAAATAGTCCAGATCGATGAATCTAAATTTGGAAAAAGAAAATACAATCGAGGTAATTATATTTTATATATTATGTCTTATAGGAAATGTATAAGAGAAGGACATAATTCTTAGATAATTAATAGCAATCTATTACTCCGAGTTGGCACAATCGGACTTCATTGGGTTAGGTTAGATGGCTAAGGCGGGAGCGCAGCGCAGCGAAGCTCCCGCCTTAGCCATCGTGGTTATTTTTTTTTAAACCACCCAGAAATAGGAGCCCCGCGTAGCGGGGCTCCGTCGACTCATAATTGAAGCCAGTTTTTATATATATATATTTTTTTGTTATAGGTCGCCATATTGAGGGCCATTGGGTTCTCGGTATGATTGAGGATGGATCTGAAGATCTGAGGTTGGAAGTGTGCCCAGACAATATTCGCTCTGCTGAGGTTTTGGTGCCACTTATATTGAAGAATGTGGAAGTTGGCACCACCATCCACACTGATTTTTGGAGAGCATATGATTGCTTGCCAGAACATGGCTACATACACAAAAAAGTCAACCACTCGGATCGTGACAACCCATTCATAGCTGAAGATGGGACTCATACTCAACGAATTGAGTTCCAGTGGAGAGCTGTTAAAAGATTTTTTAGGAAGGACAATTTTAATAACACAGAAAATTTTGCAGATGTTATTTTTGAATATTTGTGGCGGCGAAATAACGTAAAATACAGGAAAGATCCATTCATGGAATTAATAAAAGCAATAAAACATGTATATAAAGTGGAATAAAAAAAATTGTAAAAATTTCTGTTTTTATTTTTTCTAAGGGAACCAAGTATTTCCGGCGGGTGAAAATGGTGAGGGGGGGATCCGGCCCCTTCCCCCCCCCCCCTCCCCCAACCACTCACAACCCCTTATAATGGCGACGTATTTCGAAATTTTTACCCACTCCGTATTCTTAATACGTCACCACAGGTTACATAACAAATATTATTAAATATTGTGTTAGTACTTTGAGTGGCATTCCGTTCTGATCAAAGAGTTAAGTTCAATGAGTCAGCTTGTGACCGCGGCTAGTGTGAGCTACGTGATCGCATTAATTTCAAGTTATGTACATTATTATTCATACACATTGGAACGCGAAATTTTAAATTATTGTACAGTTAAGTTCAGTTTTGTGTATTTGAAAATATACACATACTTACATAACAGTTATTTCCATTGCCCTTTGAAAGGCACGTATTCCATTCGCTAAACACATTTTAAGCGAAAAAAAGGTTTTCTTTTTTATAAGTACACGAAGATTTCTGTTTAGAAATTTACACTGTAAATTTGAATACTATCGAATATTTTTTAAGTTACCGACTACCTTCAATATAATTCAGTATAATTTAAGGTGAGTATTTTTTCTGTTGGATCAGTAATTTTTATAGTCATATTTAAAAAATTAAAACAATGTTTTCCATTTTTAAAATCAGCTGTTTAATTTTCTTGTCCCTAAAATATGATCAAACCTTTCTGTAAAATAGAGTAGGTAAATATTTTAACAGCCGCTCAAACAATCGCTATCTTGTAAAGCGTAATTTAAAAAAACCTGGCACTGGTTTTGTAAACATTCGAATTTTAAAAGGTTTAAATTTTTTTAAAAGAATTTGATATGAAAAGTTTAAATAAAGAACTGAAACTGGGCAAAGCCTGTACAATCGAAGCCAGACTGCTGATAAACATACTTATATATTTCTAAAACATACATATTATAGATAAATAACATCATCAATGATCATCACACAATATTTGTCTTGGGTGGGAATCAAACCCACGACCTTTGGCTTAGCAGTCAGGGTCACTAACCAACAGGCCCATCAATTGTTAATCAAATTGTATATTTATACCGGAGTACTAACAAATAATGCGATTAAAGAACCATGAACACGCAATCGAAGAAAAAACTAAAATAAATAACAACCAAAAAGCATTTATGTACAGTTCTATTTTTCCTTTCACGCCCCAACAATCTGTGGAAGAAAAGCAATCACTGGATAACTGAAACTTACTCAATGTCACGCAATACATCTCCATTCAGGTCCCCAGGTCAATTAATCATTCCCCAGTGCTACATACACAAAAAGATGGACATGGTAAGTAATAAATCTTCTTCGAACAAAAGGTAGGTTTATCCAGATGTGTCAGATTTTATATTATCATTTTACGTATGTAGTTTCTTTTGTGATGGACGTGCTTTTAGGTCTATGTCATGTGTCTGAAAAATTACTTCCGAAATTGTCACATATTCTTACAATTGTCTATTTCTAAGGAATTAAGAATACTAGATATCGCCTGGCAGTTGAATTTCGACCATATCGAACATGTTTTGACGTGTTTTATTTCATTGGGCAGTATAACTTGAACTACTATGGTATAGACTTGTAACCAAAGCAGAACAAAATTTATACTGGGCCTCTAGACTTTCATGTGGCCGTTTTTACATAGATAGCAGGTGAAATTTCAGACGGCATAAACTTTCTTACCACCGACGACAGTAAATAGATCATAGAAATATATCTTACCTCTTCTATAGCATCTAATTGGACATCCGCAATCCCGCCGTTTGGCAGGTCGAGGGGCGTCTCCTTAGCCTGCGCCGCCGCCGCGGAATGCCTCGCTGCGGCAGCCCCGGCACCTCCTGCTGTCGGCCTCGTTGCCTCTAGCAGCACTTTCAGTGATGCTATGGCATGCAGCTGCGTGGCTTTTTCGTCCACTTTACCTATAAAAAGTTATTTCTTGGATTAAACTTGCCTATGCCTTGTTTTGCAAATCGTCGGTGGATGCAAGTCGCTTCCAATTAGTCTTTTTGGAAGGCACCAAGGAAGGTGGACGTGGAGTAGTTGGCTGATAATCGAGAGTTATTAAGTCATAGTTAGTCTACAATTCGTTTAAGAACTCTTTTAACTTTTTTTTTTTAAAAGACAACTCCCGCATTAGGAATATATCCTGTGTCGCGGGGGACTTTTCAAACATCCATGAAACGGACACAAAGAACACCCAGACTCAGAACAACAATTTGTGGATCACACAAAGTGTCGTCCCATGTGGGGTTTGAACCCACAACACTCGGCGTAGTAAGAAGCGGCGTGGCGACCGCTTAAACCACTACGCCATCCGTGCAGTCACTGTCACTGTTAACTGCTGAGTTAGTTACGTTTTTTTTTATCGCTGGCTAGTATAATTCGAAGTTTCTATTTACCCGTATTTTTGCAATTACATCATTTTAAAAATTGTCTACTTCTTCCAAGATCGTTTACTGGATTCACTTCGGTTTAGATCTGGGGACTAGCTCAGCTAATAAATATCCAGAAATAACTCTTGACTTTATCTTATTCATTAAACACACGACGATTAACATTTTATGCTTCTTTTATTTAATGCTCTAGAAGGACCACACTCAACTCTTTTTTCTTTTTTCCTCAGCATTTATGTCGTATTTTAAGGTCCGTTAGGGCTATAAATGCGAATGGATTACTTTATTAAAACATTTTGATACCAACATGATCCAGATCCTAAACCTCCTTCCTAAGGAGAGGCATATGTCCAGCAGTGGACTAGTAAAGGCTGTTGGTGTGTGTGATGTGATGATCCAGATAAAATGGAATCCAAAGACTTCCATTCGAAAAATAAGAAGAGGAAATTACGGTTTTTAAGGCATGATCTATGTCTAACGGTGGACTATTAAAGGCTGTTGATGTGAAGGCATGATCTAGCTACAGCACGATCGCATTCAGGGCTGGTAATAACACTGACAAATCATTTACTATCCGTAGACTATTTCCCCCCTACACAAGTATAAAAATGGTGACAATTTGCATCTAAAAAATATGTAGTTCAGGAATAAACTTACTGCAGCATCTGCATGAGTATGTCCAAAGAATAAGTTCATATTGTTCTACATTAGCTGGTTTGACCTATTTCTACTACCAACTAGTCATGACATGTGGGTTTCAGTTTTAACCTAGTTTGAAACCTCAAGTGGTTGAACGCTGCATTTTGAAGTGAAATAGGTTGTTTGAAAGTGATTAAAAGTGATTAAAAGACAAATATTGCAGTATGTGAACAACGCTTTCTAAGTCTTTTTAGTTAGTATACTTTTAGTAGTAGTAAAGTTTCTATTCAAATAAGGTAGCAAATGAAAATTTGAAGTAGGAAAATCAATTATTTTTGTCATTTAATGTTATTGGATCGAAGTGCCTTATGGCGCGTTATACGCTCTAAGCAGATGGGAGCGAGATCGATAAATGTGTAACAAGACTTTTTTCCGACACTTCAGTTGGCGCATCGACGCCCGTGACCAGTGCAACCTGGTCGAAACGTCAGGCAATAAAAAGGTATGTAATATCTGTTGATACCGAGTTAAATGTTATAATTTTGTGATAGTTTAAATTTATTTATTAAATTAAATTGTTAGTATGATTGAATTTTACCGATTGAAAATTACAATACTTTTTTATTTTACTTTTTTAATTCTAGGTATAATATGTATCGCTGGAAGACTGCCCCGCGTGGGCGTCTGAATGCGAAGTCCTGGTCAAATTGGACGAGACCTTTCCCCTTCAGCAACTATTGCTGCCATGCTGACGGGTGAGGAGGGATTGGGCGCAGTGGTCTCTTTCTGTGTAGCTGTAATGCTCTAGAAAGAGACCACTGAACGAGATCGGGAGAGGGCCGATCCCGAACGTAGAGGACGTAACGGCGACGATACCAGCCGTCGACGAGGCCGCGGGCCGCCAGAGAGTTAGGACCTCTGGTGGCAGATTGATTGCTGCGGTAGGAGATATAATGGTATTAAGATGCAATCCAGTCCAATCAAGTATTTTCCACCCCGTCAAAAAAAAAGGTATAATTTGTATGTATTTACAAAAAAAGTATTTATGTATTTATATCAGTTGTCTAGTACTCATAGTACAAGCTCTGCTTAGTTTGGGAATAGATGGCGTTGTAAGTACGTCGCTAGATGACTTTGTCAAATCAACAATAAGGTTTGTGTGTAAGTTCGAGTGGAAACAATAGTGTTGCCCATGAGAGCCACCTTTATTGTGCACTTAATTGCGTAGACTCTATTCTTCAGTACTTCTTGTGTTTTTTTTTGACAAAAACAAAGACATTTACTCGTATTGCAAAAAACAGTGACGTAATACAAATGTTTCGTAGTAGGTAGAATTTCAAAAGTTACACTCTAAATAAAGAAAGGAAGATTGGAATAAATTTAACAAGAATGCATAGTATTTTATGAGAAAATACTTTTGTAAATTATAGATTACATTTTGGACTAACCATTTTTTACATAATATATATACATCATTCTATAAGTAAATAGTTGCACTTCTAACTATAGTAATGCCATGTACTCATAGATATGTCCTGTATGTTGGAATAAGAAGAAAATATCGTATAACAACAAACAAATAGTCTATCTATAGTTTTGGGTCTATTACTTTATTTCTTACACATTTAAAGCCTTCAAGAGGCGTGACGAAAGCCAATGTAGGCACCTCAATCACATCCATCTTGTAGTAAGCAAAGCAGGAAACCTCTTGCAGGGTCCGCTCATTACAAATACGAATTGTGAAAGCATCCCTGCGAGAAGTTACAAGAGTGTGGACAAGGGGTTAGAGTTTTATTGTATAGTGAGAGATCTTATGTTAGCCTTACAATTATTTAAATTACAAACTGTTTCTTCTTTAATCATTCAATCCAGAACTGCTTCAGCGTACCCTCCCATTTTTATCGTTGTATTTTTTTTCCGTGTATCCGTGTGGCGGATGTGCCAGCCAAAACTTCCTTTCTAAGGAGAGGCCTATGTCCAGCAGCGAACTCTTTTTTAAACCGCTTACAAATTTAAATGACAGCAAAAAGGTTGGTATGACAAAAATAAATATAATGTTGTATTGTAGAATAGATAAAATAATACCTACAAACTTACATTTAAAGAAATATAAATCTTAATACTCATACATTAAAGTGTAATTTTGCATGTCGCCCATATGTGGGTTTAAATAATATTTGGCAAACACCCTTGTTCATGCCGTTTACGCATTGACGTATTCTCGACTGTGATATCCTCTGTGTGAGTTGCCTAGTCCATTTATATTATTAGGTATTTTACGTTTTTTTATGGATTCGACAATTAATAGAATAAATGTAGAATAAAACATGAACAGTTTTAAATAAAATAGTAGTTTCAAACAAAGAAATTGTATTTAAATTTAGAGCAATTAATCTTTGACGGGCTCTTCTCTAAAATTAGGGTTTTGTAGATGAGTCACTGTTTGTAGGGTCCATTGATATTACGGATATAGATTAGATATAGAAATCCATATGAAACGTTATTTAATGGAAGTACTATAGGAATACCGTTATTACGTCTCTCACACAATCTAAGCTGAGCATAGATTGTTCTTTTTTTAAGACAACTCTCGTATTAGGTATATATCATGTGTCGCGGGGGCCTTAACAAATATACATGAAACTTACACAAGGACACCCAGAGTCAGAACAACAATTTGTGGATCACACAAAGTGTTGTCCCATGTGGGGATTCAACCCACAACACTTAAAGCAGTAGGAAGCGGCGAGGTAACTACTTAAACTGCTTCCCTATCCGTGCAGTTTTATGAGTGCAGTGCAGCACAACAGTGTTATATCTGCCTTGTGTGTCTATCTGCCTTGAACACAAAACAGTACTTATTCCACAATCGAGATCAAATAGCTAGAGTGCTTCGCACGAGGCCTCATCGTTGACCTCACCTTGACCCTAGGGTCGCTTACGTATCGATTTTACTGTTTTCGTTCGCTTAATAAACATACTGAGCTATTTTTATCATTTTTTAGAAGATTATTTTTGTAGATAACCTCTTTAGATGTGGAATAATGTTTTCACTCAACAGCACAGAGGTACAGTTAGATAATATTGTAAATACACTTATTCTTATTACAGACATATATTAATTCGACTGCATGGATGGCGTAGTGGTTTGAGCGGTCGCCACGCTGCTTACTACTGCGTTGAGTGTTGTGGGTCCGATCCCCACATGGGACAACAGTTTGTGTGATTCACAAATTGTTGTTCTGAGTCGGGGTGTTCTTTGTATCCGTTTAATGTATATTTGTAAAGTCCCTCGCGACACAGGATATATTCCTAATGCAGTTGTCTTTTTAAAGAAAAAAAAAAGAGATCATACTTCACCACAGACTGGTTCGACCTTAACGAATAACGATAACATGGTCTCACTGAAAACCGATGTTAAGCAGTTCTATCGTTGCCTTTTCCTGAGTGAGTGAGGATCCCGAGGTCCTATAATTCTGGAAGACGGGGAAGTGGAGTTAGCACTTATAGGACGGCAACGCACTTGTGTCCATGGGCGGCGCTAGTCACTTACCATCGGGTAAATTGCTTGTCCTTATGCCATACAAAAAAGAACACCTACTGTCGAAATTCGACCTTCGCTTTGTAGAAGTGTTCTCGATGCAAACTTTCCCACTACTTTGCAAACTGCTCAAAAGTTGCATCGCCCTGGCCGATACACATACTGACTCACAGAATTCCGCAGTACCAAAAAAAATACTTTTACTTTATTTGCTTCTCGGCCATAAAAGAGTTGCTGGTATTTATAGCACAGGGTTTCCTTTTTAAGTATCAGCAGTGCATTATTTGTAATTACTGTAATATAACAACCATGAAATTATCTTTGTAAACTTTTAATTGTGAGCAGT